GAAGTCAGAAAGACCTGAGTTCAAATCCTGCCCCAGACAAGTCACTTTGCTTCTAGTTGCCTCAGTTTCTCCTGTAAAATGGGGATAAGAATTGCACCTACTTGTAGGGTTGTTTTTAGGATTAAATGAGATGATATTTCTAAAAGCACTTTGCACAGTGCCTGGCACATAGTAGGCACTGTACAAATGTTTCTTCCCTCCCTTTCTTCCTGCCCTACTCATGGTTATCTCAAAGGCCCTCTGTTCTTCTTCCTCTATATTATTTCAATTGGTAATCTCTTTAGCTCTCAAGAATTCAATTATCAATTCTATACTGATGATTCTCACATCTATTTATGCAGCCTTAATCTCTCTGTTGACCTCCAGTCTCTCATCTCCAAATGCCTATTGTACAATTCAAACCAGATGTTCCATAGGTATCTTAAACTCAGTAAGTCCAGAAATGAACTCATTATTATGCCCCAAACCCTTGACTCTTTCCCTATTATTGTTAAGGATGTATCACCATCCTCCCAGTGACTTAGGTTTAAAACCTCTTCTATTCCTTATTCTTTCTTTCTCTCACAGCCCCCCTACTCCTACCCCATGCCCAGTCTATTCCCATTGCATGTCAATTTTGTTTTATTTTCATCTCATCTCTCATATATGCCCCTTTCTCTTCTCTGGCACTGCCACCACTGGTATAGGCCCTCATCACCTCACACCTGGATTATTGTAAGAGTCTGCTCATAGGACTGCCTGCTTCAAATTTCTCCCTACTCCCAAAATAACACACCACTCAGATATCAAATTGATCTTCCTAAAGCACAGGTCTGAGTATGTTACTACTCCCACTCAATAAACTCCAGTGGTTCCCTCTCTCCTTCACGATCAGATAAAAAAGTCTTCTATTTGGCATTCAAAGCCTTTAACCTGTCCTCTTCTCTACCCTGCCTACGTTTCTAGTCTTCTTATTCTCTTTTCCTCCACTTAATCTGTGATCCAGTTACCCTGGCCTCCTTGCTGTTCTTTGAACAAGAAACTACATCTCCCAAGTCAGGGTATTTTCATTGGCTGTCCCCCGTCCCTGTAATGCTCTTTCATGTCATCTCATCTCTGCCTCCTGGATTCTCTGGATTCCTTCAAGTCCCAGCTAAAATCCCACCTTCTATAAGAAACCTTCTCTATTCCTCTTAATGCTAATGCCTTTTCTCTCTTGATTATTTCCAATTTACCCTGCATGTTTTTTGTTTGTACATAGTTGTTTTTATGTTGTCTCTTCCATTAGACTTTAAGCTCCTTGAAAACAGAAACTCTTTTGCCTTTCTTTGTACCCCCAATATTTAGCACGGTGCCTGGCACATAGTAGGCTTTTAACAAATAGTTAACCATTTACTCACTTATTTCCTGCCAAACAAATGATTGACAAAACCCTCTCATTCTGATATTGTAAGCCAGCCCCTTGTAGTCCGTTGGCATAATAGCATTATGACCCAAAAAGGAGAAAGTCTAGCTATGTGTATACCTTCGCAACTCATCTTCATGAGGCTTCCCTACCTGGCTCCAATAATTCTGAATATGTCCTCACTTAGGGATATGGTTTCCTTTATATTAATTTTTAAGTGCTAATACAGGCAACCTCCATTGTATAGATTGCTTTCTAAAAGAGGATTTGTAAGTGGCTACTTTGGCAATCTGCATCCATTGCTTTCCCCCTAAGACCTCCTCCTTCCTATGACTTCGCTGTTCTGTTAGTGGCCTTGCCATTTATCCACTCTACTTATTAAAGCCTTAGTGCTATCTTTCACTCTTCTCTCTCCTTTGCCTGTCATATCAAGTCATGTGCCAAGTCCTATTGATTCTATCTCTACAATATCTCTCAAATATATTTCCTCCTCTATTCCCCCTGCCACTATGCTAGGACAGTCACTCAATAACACCCCCACACCCACCCACACCCACTGGACTATTGCAAGAGCCTTCTATCAAGAACTTTTCCCCTCATCTACTCCCTCCTCCCTTGAAACTATCCTTCATTTTGCTGCCATACTTTTCTTTATGCATGCCTCAAGCCATGTTACTCCTCTGGTCAAAACCTTTTAATGATTTCCTGGGTTTTTTTTTTCTACCAAGGTTCATGTGATTTTTATCAGGTTTTCAAGACCTTCCAGAATCTGGCAATTTTTCCAGTCTTATGACCCTAAGGAGGGTTGGGCAGACACCTGTCAGGTATTTGAGGACAAAAACAAGGGAGGATAACACTGCTGCTGAGGGAGGGTGGGGGCAGAAGGGGGGGTTAGGATGGGTAGAGAACTGATCCAAGAGAGGAGACCTGATAAATTCTGCATTTGAGTTGCTAACAGTGTTGCCTAAAGTTTTAAGTTCACTAGACCTGGAAATCTGACAGGCAAAGTGGGAGCAATAAGACAGAATTAGCAGTATCCATTCCATATACTCAATTCTCAAGGGAGTTGAGTAAGAGTTTTTGGAAGGGCAGAAAAAGCAAAGAGGGAAATGCTAGTTACCTGCAGAATGACTCTGCTTACGTGGCTCCCATGCCAAGACAGCATCCTCTTTTGGAATGAAGTGCCAGTTGCATCTTTTCTTTTATCTGAGAATCAGGATTGTCATGGGACCAAGTCCTTTTTTCACACAGTTCTCCTTAACTCACTTTATACACCAACTAAACTACTGGTCCTCCCCCATAAACAACCATCCCACACATACTTTGCCTTCTCATGCTGTTCCCTATTCCTGGAATTTCTCTACACACACACATACACACACACACACACACACACACACACACACACACACGTTGAATTCTCATGTATCCTTTAAATCCCCAACACAAATGTCTTCTACAAGGTCATATAGATAATAAGGAGCGTAACTTAAATTCAAACTTAGGCCCTGAGATACCAAATTCATGTTTTTTTTTTTTTCCAATGCATCATGTTGCTCCAACTCTTTTATGTATGATTTTGTATTATAGTTATCTTTATATACATCCTATTATATGGTAAGGTCCATGAAGGAAGGAGTTCTATGTATGTATCTTCCCCAGTGCCTAGGATAATGCTCTGCACAAAAGATGCTTATCTAATTATTTATCGGAATTAAATATGTTCTGAGATTAGTCTTTACTTGACAATTTTGTAGTACCTAACCATTACTTATAATATTGTTTCTATTTGGAAAAATGGGTTCAAAATCCCAAATTGGCATGTCAGGAGTGTACTTCTCTCTGTTATATTCCTGAACATAAAAGCAATGCTTCACACACATATTCCCATTTCACCTCTACCACCTATGACACAATGGAATTGGGATTTCTTTAGCTCCTACACACTGGTTGTGGCCATGTAAAAGAGATTGTCAGCATCTGGGTGATAAAAAGTGAGGAGTAGGGGTAGAGAAGTATGTGGGGAGTACCAATATATGTTCCTGGAAATGAGAATAGGGAGCTGAGACAGAAAATGGGGAATGTGAAGAAGATATGGGGAATATTGCCAAAGTAACCAGAAGTGGGGAGGACTGGAGTAGGGAAATGGAAGGAGTGGTAGCTAGAGGTGTGTGTGTAGGGGTGGCACTCACCTCCTGTCCTTTGAAATCAGTCATAGATTTAGAACTAGAAGGGATCTCAGAAGCCATCAAGTCCAACCTTATCTTTTTACAGATAATGAACTAAGTCCTAGAGAGTTTAAATGATTTTCCTAAGGTGAAAGCTAGTCACTTTCTGAAGTGGGATTTGATCCCAGTTTTATTGACACCAAGTCCAGCAATTCTATCCACTACCCCATGATGCCTCTCTCTTTCACCAAACCCTTACCACCACTTAGCACAGGAGCAGAATGAGAAACAAGGGTTAAGGGGGGGTGAGGGTGAGCTGGTTTCAGGAGAATCTGAAACATGAGGAAGGAAGAAAGCTATGGTGGTTTCCAGCTGGGTTCAGTGCTTTTCAGGAATAGAAAAAATTTGGGAACTTCATAATGAAACCAGATAGATAAGTAGAGAGAGAGATGTTAGATAGATATAGATGAATGGATGGATGGATGGATGGATGGATGGATGGATGGATGGATGGATGGATGGATGGATGGCTAGATAGGTATAGATAGATAGACATATCTATCTATATATATTTGGAACTGTTTTTTATGCAATTTGCTTTGTGTCACTTTAAAACTGAAGTTTTTTGAGGGCAGGTATCATGTGTGAAATTTCCTTTGCATTTGCCTATAAATCAAAGTGGAAAAACTTGCATCAAGTGGAACTTGGTACAAGCAAATGTTCAGCGAATTCATATTCTTGGCATAGTCTATTACACTGGAGAATTAATAGTAACAATAAAAATACTTCACTTGGTACTTTAAAAATATGATTTCATCCATTTGAGTCCTTCCTCTAGCAACAGTGATTGAAATCTATCTATACCTTCTCATCATATATGCTTCTTGTCTATGTTTTACCATAAAATCTCCATAAAGGGTCTGCTCAACATGTTGAGGTTTTCCTCTTGTTCTTTTAGTATTAGAGGGTTACCAATATGTTACTTCAGCTGTTTGTCATCCTCACTATTTAATTAGCCTGCCTCTTCTCTACTGAGGACAGGCATCAGTAATATTCTTTATGCCTTCAAGTGGCCATTGGCCACATGCTATATACTGCTTGTTCCAACATGCATATTATCCCCTAGTTTCCTCTAGTTATTTGCCATTTTAATTCTTATGAGATTGTGGTGTTCTAGGATTCACATCTCTGTAGAATCTCTGGGAGAATACTGGTGTTAAAGAGATAAGTTTTTGCAAAGGCATCATAATGAAATCATTGAAAGCACTCTGCAATTTCACAGACATGATCCGAGACAACCTGGCCCCTCCTTATCAATTCCAGACCCAGCTCATGGTGTATGATTTTTAAAATGCTCTATGAATGTTTTCTTGGGTGCTCATCCACCCTCTATATCTTTGAAGGGCCATTCCCAGGAACACTTGCTCACTCTTTTTCTCTTTTTTCAGTTCCTCCCCAGATTATGAACATCTCCTCAGACATCACTGTGAATGAGGGAAGTAGCGTGACCCTCCTGTGTCTTGCTATTGGCAGACCGGAGCCCACCGTGACATGGAGACACCTGTCAGTCAAGGGTAAGCTGCTCACACCTGGGGTGGGAGAGGAAGACATTAAGGGCCAGTCTGGGTCTGGGTCTCCCAGTATATGTGTATATTGGTTCACATTTCTATATAAAATGAAACTTCAGGATTAGATCAAGAATACATGTCTTGTTGTTATTGCTTGTTTTAGTACAGAATCAAATACTTTATCAAACGATAAGTGGCATATGGAACTATGAGAAGAGGATTCAGAAACCCAACTTTCTGAGGTTTTCTTTCTTGTTTGGCTTGTGAAGTTGGGGTTCCCTGAGCCACTTTACCCTCCATAACTACAAAGGTGTACATGTACTCTAGCAATTCTTCCCATGAGAAAAACACATTTTCTTCAGGTGGTTGTGAGAAATGGTGATTTGGGATCTTTAGATGAAGACTGTTGAATGATAAGAATGACTATTGAGGGTCAGATGCAACTGCTTGGCCATATGCTTTAGAGTTTCTGTTTACCCAGAAGGAGAAGGATCTGTGATCTTCAATAATCTGACCATTTACCTGGAGTCATCTCTGCTACAAGCTGGAAATGACAAGTGTTTTATCTCTAGAGGGCTAGGGCGGCTGTGATGGGCAAGTACATCTGTTCCTACCTGGAATGTGTTCCCAGGAGCTGGCAGTGAAGATTTGTCAGGACTGCTTCCAAGTAGCAGGGGGAGCCAGCCTGGCATGAGGACATATCCCCATTAGCCCCTTGGAAATCTAACTTCTTATCAAGATACGCAGGGAATTAAGAAAAAAGGGGCCCAAGGCCATTTGATAGTTTTATGCTGTAATTAGACTGTATGATTAATTCTAGCAATTAGAATGGAAACCAGCCTCCCTTTAGACACTAGAAAACGCAAATAACATAAATGGCAACAAGTAAGCAAGTGGTGTGCTGAGAAAGACAGACAGACACAGCCACACTAACATATGAAGGGGATACTGTATGGGGAAAACTGCTTCACTTGTTCCAGACTTCCCTTCCCTAAGCCCTACTCCCTACCCTAGGCAGGCTTTGTGAGTGGGAAAAACATTTAAGCTTCCCTTCCCTGTTTCCTCCTGAATGAAATGCACATAGTAATGCTTGCCTCCACCTAGTACAGAAGCAAGTAGTAAGGGATGAGTGAGATAATGCCAGCGAAGTACCTTGACCTTCTGTGAGTAGGGTCTGAGAATACCGAAATCCACAATGATTTAATAATGATAAAGGGGAAATTATCAAGAATATTCAAGTATCCCTAAGGGACATTATAAAGCATGACCCTTATACAAACCCTAGAAATAGCATGTACATGCAAACATATGGAGTCACAGGCCTCTGGGGTAATTTGCTCTAAATACAGGAGAGTTTTGGTCTTGTAATATATACAAATATATGTAGACGCAGCATGCAATTTTCTATGTATCTAGTGAAGTCAGATGTCTTTATAAATGCTTGAAATCCCAGAATGTACTCTGTTGATCCTAAATACATATTCCTCTAAGCCTGGAGATCTTTTGAAAGGCAGCTTGACTTTGGTTAAATGTACAGAAGCTATTTTTACAATGCTACAATAGTTAAGACTTCTGTATTTAAAATAGGGGACTTTTTGCACTCCCCCAAATGGTCCTTACTGTAGTGGTGTGGAGGCTGAAGGGTATCTGGGAGAAGCCAGGAAGAGCCTAAATTCAATCTGCCCTTGGCCCCCTCAAATCTCCACGGCTGAGCATCACATCTGAGCCTCTCTCTTTTGTTTTCTTGCAGCCTTGGCCTTCTTTGCTTAGCTTGCCTTCCTGTCTCTATCTCTCATTGTCTTTTCCCCCTCCCAATGACATTTTAAAAAATTCAACTCAGGCAAGGAATGTGTTTGCCAAGTTTGAAAGGCACTAGAACCTGGAGGGTTTGCAGCTTCTTATTTGCATCTGTGGGGTGGCTGCCTGTGTCTTTTTTCCAGGGGTCGGGGAAATGCTCTTTCCTTCTTCTGGGGGAAAAAATGGGTTTGAAAGGTTTCCTAAGAGGGGCTAGTGAGACTCCTCCACATCGAACGGTGTTTACAGAACAACTTTCTGGTGAGTTAAGCACAGAAAACTGTGCAACACTGAAATGACATTTTCTTTGAAATACCAGTAGGATTGACAATGGAGGAGTAAGCACTGTGGACAAGTGTGTCGGTAGCTTCACTGAATTCTGCTGACAAAAAAAAAATTGAAAAGCTATTTCCAGAAAGTCTGTGAATACTGTAAAGGGGGTGAGTGTGCCTGCCGCCCATGGATGGGGGCTTTTCAGACTTACTGTAAATTTTAGGAAGAATCATGAGACAGCTGCAACCATCTCTTCCTTATGCTTGGGTTCTAGGCTTGCTTTTCATTGTAGATCCCTTGTTTAGCACCCTGAGCGTTCCCAAGGCTGCAGCTAAAGAAATAAAAAGAGATGCTGCAGTCACTTGTCACTTGTCATGACAAGTGCCACTTTGACAGCAGGGACACAAAGCTTTCTCAGGGTTGGGAGTTTCTTTGAAAGGAACAACACGATTTTGAAGACCAATTTTCTCATTGAGAAACTGAGTCCTCAGGTGTTACATGCATTTCTTAGAAGATGCATCTAGAGGCTTTTAAAGAAACTGCCCATAGGTTTGGTGCAACAACTGAGGACCATTTGATTTGGACACCATTTGCAAATATTTTCATCTACCTTGGAACTCACAGACTGGAAATGCAGTGAGAAACCTCCCTCCCCTCAGTGGAATGTTGGAGAATTTGTTTACAAGGTTATAATTATTAAGTGTTTTAAGCTTCTTAAAGAAAAGTGCTATGTAAATAAGATCTGGGGGTTTTCCAGCTGACACGCAAACCAGATGAACATTCTACCATGTCCGTGTTCTTTAGATGTAAATAATTATATTGCCTTTTCTAAGGCAGCAGATCTGCCTTACAAAAACAAGAAGGTACATGTGAATTCACACACACACACACACACACACACACACACACACACGCACGCACAAATGCAATAGCCCTTTAACATTCTCTATAATAATAGAGAGAGCAGTCAGTGGCACAGTAGATAGAACACTGGCACTGGAGTGAGTAGGACCTGAGTTCAAATGTGACCTCAGACATTTCCTCATCTGTAAAATGAGCTGAAGAAGGAAATGGTAAACCACTCCAGTATCTTTGCCAAGAAAACCCCAAATGGGGTCACACAGAGTCGGACACAACTAAAACAACTGAACAAAAACAACAAACTCCAAATTGGAATCATCACAAAATCACAGGGCACTGTTACCAAGAATGTTCCCCTGAAGTGTGTGGGCAGATCCCATAACAGAGAAGATAGAAAAAAATTGGCAGTGAGCCACTGCATTTGGAGCCCCTCGTGGAACAGGTGGGTTCCAACACCTCCCCCTACCCCCCAACACTTCTGAAGGACAAGAGAGAAGGAGCTGGGCCAGAATTAATTGGGAGGCTGTTCTAGGCATATGGGGTGGTGTGAAGAAAGGTGTGAAAACGGGGGTGGATGAAGAAAAGAGTAGAGGCTGTTGTAGAGGAGTGGTTGTCTTTCCATCTTCCTCTGTTATGTCTTGGAACAGCAAGGCTCCTGCACATCTGGACTGATTGACAGTGATATACTTTGAAAGGCCAGATGTTTGAGGAAGCTTTAAAAACTTATAGCCATCAAGCTATAGACCTTAGAATGAGAGGGAAAAGTACATGCTTCCCTTCCCCCTCATTCACCATCCTTCTCCACCCCCAGTTTATTTTTGTGCTCCTTGGTCATAAGGAGTATTTGATATATTAGCTGTTTTTTTTAAACAATATACGTAGAAAATTACAGTAATGTCTTACTGATCCAACATCAGCAAGGGTTCAGTTATTCTATTTAAGTGACCTTTCCAGATTAAATTAAATTCAACAAAGTTTATAAATACCTACTCTGGAGAGGCAGCTAGGTGGCACAGTAGGTAGAATGCTGGGTCTAGAGTCAGAAAGACCTGAGTTCAAATCCAGTCTCAGACATTTATTAGCTGTGAGATCCTGCGAAAGTCACTTCACTTTTGCCTCAGTTTCCTCCACTATAAAATGGAGATAATAATTGCCCCTGTTTCCCGAGGTTCTTGTGAGGATCAAATGAAATAATAGTTGTAAAGCTCTTAATACTGTGCCTGGCACATATCAGGTGCTTAATAAATGTTTATTCCCTCCAACTGTGTGCAAAGTACTGTGCTCAGTACTTCAAGTATCCCCTTAATGGCACTGCCTATGAGATCCCAGGGTCAATTCCATGCCACAATTAGGCATTGGAGGACAATGTTTATATAAGAAGCAATGGGTGTGCAAACACAAATTTGAAGCAGGTTTTGCCCCAGAGATCTTACATTCTTCTGGAAAATTGTAAATTCTTCTCTAACACTGGAGCTTTTGGGGTCAATAGAACTGTTTATCCCTATGTTAAATGAGCCTGCAAGCTGATGTACATTTTGGATTTTTATACTCTTCCTGCCACACTGACCCCCATCATGTTTCCATGCTGTTACTGTTGTTGGTGTATCTGCCTGTGATAATCCTGATCATCTCTTCCCAATTTGCTGAAGGCTAAGAAGCCATACGTCCACACTTGTTAGAACATTGTCTAAAATAATATGTGTAGGAGAAATTTACTGGAGTCACACAGGATGAAGCTATGTTGGGGGAGGAAAAGGTGTGATTTGTAGCTATGGAGAGACCTGCCACCCTGGTTAAATCCCCCTGGCTTCATCCAAATTTTCAATGTAGGAGTAAGAAGAATGGAGGCAATGTGGTGCAATGGATAGAGAGCCTGCCTTGGAGTCAGGAAAACATGAATTCAAATTTTTCCTGTGACATATCCTGAATCTGTGACTCTGGACAAGTCTTCATCTGTCCAAGTACCAGGCACCTGTCCAAGACTCTAAGTTACAGAACAGTTTCAGGCCTGTGTTGGTACAGGGAATTTCCTCTTAAAGTATACTAATGAAATTACAGATACAGACTAAAATTCAAGA